GTTCTATTGGATTTAATTTAAATCAATCAAGACAGATGATAATTATAAGAGCACACTTTTTATATACAGTTAAACCTCTACTAATTAATACAGTTGGGACCTCTATGAATGAATACAGTCGGGACCAGAGAAATTCTATTAATTTAACGAATTATTAAATTATCGAGTTAATAATTTAACACGTTTTCACCGATTCGGGACTGGGAGAAACTATTATTTAATCGAGGTTAGTAATTTATCGAGTATTAATTTATGATGATAATTATTATTAAAAAAGCATCATAATTCATATGTGCATATTCAAGAAAATGGGTAATGCCGTAGTGGTCCCTATGGTGTGTGTTGCTCTCAACAATCAGGTCCACTGAATCTCGAAAAAAAGCCGATAAAAACAGAAAATAAAGGCAACAATTCGAAAAGAGAGATGCTGATATAAATGGGTCTGTAGAAGAAAGATCCCAATGGAATAATTCAAGACAAAAACAAATGAAGGATTATTATACATCAAATTATCGCGTTTATTGTCTTCTAAAATTTAAAAAAAAATTTGCAGGGTATTATAAATATCGAGAGTTGTGGAACCGGATACTGGATAATCTCATCGATTCAAATTCCTCTTGCAATTATATTCACTTTCGTAATTCTAAACAGTAGAAAGAGTCGTAAGAATACTGCTTCAAATACTCCTCAGGTGCGTAACATTATTTTCTTAATATTCCTCGTTTCGAACATTGGAGTGCTCTTATATAATTTTATTTTATTTTATTTATTATATAAGGAAAATGGAGAATGTGAAACAAGAAACGGGCTAAATGGGAAGCTCGTTTTTCCCTTAATGGCACTATTAGCTGGCATTCTTGGTGGAGTATTTGGAATTGGAGGTGGCATGCTTATAAGTCCACTTCTTATCCAAATCGGAATGCAACCCGAAGTAAGTTTTTTTTTCTTTTATTTTTTTTAAATAAATAAAGCTTAACGACATTTCGCACGATTTTCATAGGTGACAGCAGCAACATGTTCGTTCATGGTATTATTCTCGTCGTCCATGTCAGCAATGCAGTACTTACTGCTGGGAATGGATTACATTTACGGTGCCCTAATCTTGTCAGCGGTTTGTTTCGTGGCTTCGTTGATTGGGTTGACTTTGGTCCAACGAGCTGTAATGAAACACGGGAGAGCGTCTCTTATAGTGTTCTCGGTAGGTACAGTGATGGCTCTAAGTACCGTTTTGATGACTAGTTTCGGAGCTGTGGCTGTTTGGAGTGACTACACTAGTGGTAAGAGTATGGGGTTCAAGAAACCATGCTAAAAATAAATAAATAAAATTAAATCTTTTTTATTGTGTGTTATTTTGGAACAATAAGTACTAGCTTGTAGCATAATAAGTAAGCTTCTTACATCTAATGTACTTCAAAGGTGATTAGCAATTTAAAACAAAAAAATTGTGTTCCAATTCAGATAATCTTGTCTAAGATCTGCATTAGCAAAAAAAAAAAAAAGGTAAATTACATATGACCTTGAAATAAGACTAAATAAATTATAAACTCCTATAATATTGGTAATTGCAAATACCCCTAAAATTATATAAATCATAACAGAATGAATGAACTATATAAATGACCCTTTTATTAAACAAATAAACTATGGATAAATTACGTGTACTTCTTGAGGTAAGACAAAATATTACAGTTACCCCACCCCTCGTGGTAGATTTGGAAATTCAGACAAATATATCATTGAATCTTCAAATTCTATTACTCATAACTCCGTAGAAGTGTAATTGTAAGATAGAAAAATAGCTCATCGGGTGTTTGATTACCGATACCGCAAGAGTTTGTAAGTTGTTTAGTCTTACACGAGAGGTGCTCGCAATTTACCCAGAAAAATGTGTGTTTGAGTGAGTGTCTTTAACCCTTGAGTGTGTGTTATAACTTGTAAGGTCACTTGTAAGGCAATTAAATAAATTATAATGAGATTAATAGCAAAAAGTATGAACTGGCTTTTGGAGCTAGCTTATAACCAGTTTGGATAGAGTCTTCATTTTTTATTTAATTTTTTAAAAAAACCACACCAAGTCCCAAACACATCTTAATCAATCTTTTAGTTGAAACTTGATTTTTTTTATTTGTATATAATCCAATAACTCCCAGTCACGTTCAATTTAAATCTTTTATATACTTCAAACTTTGTTTGTTATGTATTTGGATGGATTGTTGGTTCACAATGAATATATACGTACATGATAAATATATATACGTATATATATATCAGTTGCAAAATACATACACTACTGAGACAGGCAAAAACAGAAGGAAAATAAATAAATAAATAAGAGGGGAAAAATGAATCAGAAATTTCTCTTCTTTCTCGTTTTCTCGACCATCTTCAAATTTTCCGACGCAAAATCAATTTCCGAAACCCCAATTTTCAATCAAATCTTCAACACTACTCAACAATGGCGGTCGCCGCCGCAATTCCTAACCACGGAGCTGAATCCGACGCCTCAATTCCTGGTCGCCGGGGTCCTATCCTTCATCGCCGCCGCAATTTCCAGCGCCGGTGGAATCCGGCGGCGGCGGCATGTTCATACCTATTCTGACAATCGTCGCCGGGTCGGACCTCAGAACGGCGTCGAGCTACTCGGCGTTCATGGTCACCGGAGGTTCGATTGCAAACGTCGCCTGGCAATTGCTGCTCGA